AAAAATACGTGGTACTGAATCGAGTGACACCACAAATGTAGAAAATAATCGCGAAAATGACCTGCGTTGATCCACTTTGCTGCGACAATGCGAGAATTGATTGCKTTACATCGTGACTACGATGTGACTATGGATTGCGTTACAGTATTGGCTCACTTCCATTCCAGTCCACCGTTGCTTTTTTCCATCTGCATTGGAACGAAAAAAGAAAAAAAAAAACAAAATCAGAAAAAAACAATGGCCTCGGTTTAGCCTCTCTCACAGGCGTCAGGCATTCTCGTACCCAGATCCTTCTCACTTTCCCAACGGAAAATCGAAGGCTCTGGTTTGAGACGAGTGAGTCTTTGATTTGATTGGTTCAAAAATACCCATGCGCTATCAGTATTCATATATCGTACGACCCAGATTCTAGGTCTTCGGGTATCGTCACCAACCACAGCCTCTGATTTTCCGTTGGGAAGTGAGAAGGATCTGGGATCTGGGATCTGGGATCTTCCCTACGTAGACTCCTTTAGTCATCATGATATCTTCGTCTAGATGTAATGTTTAAAGTCCGACAATGAGGACTGGACGGGATTTCAAGTCCGCGCAATAGCCGACTTGCGAATTACGCATCAATAGTCACATACAAAGGAATCAAGACGAGGCGCCGTGCTTTTTTGTGAAAAATCTATTGTCTTTAGCACGGCGCCTCGTCTTGATTCCTTTGTATGTGACTATTGATGCGTAATTCGCAAGTCGGCTATTAGTTCCAGTCCGAGGCGTTAGCCGAGGACTGGAACTAATTGCAAGGACTTGAAATCCCGTCCAGTCCTCATTGTCGGACTTTGAACGACTTCTCATACTCATTAATTATTCGGGAGGGGAAAAAGCGAAGGAAATACATATAACAGAAATATATTGATTTATTGCATCTCCACTAAGGTTTTCAGTTCAGTTTTCATAATTTTGAATACATGAAGCACCGTTTGTTGTTCTTCAACGGACGGCTTTCTGAAACAAAAGCTATTCAAATTGTCTTTGTCTGCTATTCATGGCATTCCTAATGAGCCTAATCCATAAGATTTATAAGTATGTTATCTTCCAAGGTTTCGCATCAGAAACTCGGTGGTGTAATGGTATAAGATGGCGCCTATAGACTGAACGTTAGGGGATCGAGTCGTGAGGGAGTCATGTATCAAAGACCTTTTTTCACTAAATTAATGTTAAACTGATTATTTCTAATAATTTGATTATCATTAGCTGGTAGTAGTTGGAAACATGGTAGAAGTAACTGGAAACAAGGTAGAAGTACCTGGAAATAAAGTAGAGGTAACTTGAAAAAGGTAGACGTAACCGGAAATAAGGTAGAATACAAGGTACGAGTACTTCCTCTGGTTTCAAGTTACTTCACGTGGTACAAATTACAAACAGGGATTGGCTGAATACCTCATGAATAATTAATGAGTATGAGAAGGTTGGGAGCATCTGACAAAAGGACAATTGGAGATCACTTGTTATAGACTCTTTGAGTATCATTAACCATCTCCCATTGAAACGTGTGGACGGTTTGAATGTCTCTATACTACAACATTCTTTAGGTTTCTTGTTTCTGAATCTTACCTTGTTCTGATGACATGTTCAAGCGGAGGTACCAAATCTCCATCTTCCGATTCTGGGCACTCAGTAGTAGTATCTGTTTATTCATTGAAACACAATTTA